CCGCGCGGCGTGCATGGGGGCGGGGCCCCGCGCGCGGCACGCATGCGCAGTGGCGCCCCCTGCGTGCGGCGCGCATGGGGGCGGGGCTCCCGCGCACGGCGCGCATGCGCTGCGGCGTTCCCGGAGGCGCACCGCCGCCCCACGTGCAGCGCGCATGCGCAGCGGCGCCCCCCGGAGGCGCGCCGCCGCCCCCACGCGCGGCGCGCGTGCGCGGCACCGCCCCCCCGGAGGCGCAGCGCGCCCCCGGAGGGGACAAAATGGCGGATCGCCACCTTTGGCGACCCCATAAAAGAGGTCGATCGACCCCAAATGGGGTCGCGACCCATAGGTTGAGAACCGCTGCACTAGGGTTTTATAAAACAGTACTAATACTTCACGTGATCTTGATTCTATGCCTCTGTGTGTTGAAGCAGAATAAAAAGCATAGATTGTTTTGTGTTCTGGTGTTGGAGAGGACTCCTGAGAATACCATAAATAGTCATAGACCTGTGACAGTAACCAATGAATTTCATATGAGAAAGGGTGATTAAGGATCATTGGAAATCACTCAAAGGGAAATTGCTATTAACAATTGGCTTTTAACAAGAATGTGTGAGTCACATTATTGATGTTCTTCAGTATTGGAAGGTTTGTACAAGAAGGAATCCTCTTGTTTTGATTGCAGAGAGAAAAACTGCAAGAGCTGAAATTTAACAGCAACTGTTCTCACGTTACAAGAATGAAGGTGAGGAATTTCTTCACAGCATTGTGAGAGTTGACAAAATATAGGCTCATCATTGTGATTCAGAAAAAAAGTTAATAGCTGTGGTGGTGCAGTGGTTAAAATGCAGTATTGCAGGCTGGTTCTGCGGACTGCCAGTTGACAACAGTTCAATTCTCACCTGCTCAAGATAGACTCAAACTTCCATCCTTTTGAGGTCAGTAAAATGAGGACCCAGATTGTTGAGGCCAATATGCTAACTCTGTAAACTGCTTAGAGAAGGCAGTAAAACATTATGAAGCGGCATATAAGTCTAAGTCAATGTTGAAGTCCACATGCCTTAAAATACTCAAGGTTGAGAAACATTGGTCTAAGTGCTATTGCTATCAGTCCGTTGATTATCATTACTGTACAAAGATTCATCTATGGAGGAAGAAAGTCAGAGTCCAGGTTTCAGTAAAAAAATATAACAGTAAAAATTATTTGGAACAGGGATGGTATCATTCATCTGAAGTTCCTTGACCAAAAGTTTTTAATGTTACAGTATAGTTGCCCTGAACTAGTAACAAAGATTAGGCAGAGTTCAGAGACAATTTTATTGCAATAAGCAACACTAGGCGTCACATTTTATGTAACACCCAAGAAGCAATTGTGAAGTTGGATCTCACCATCTTGCCCAACACACCATATAATCTAGACTTGGTGCCATGCCGTGTAACTTTCATCTTTTCCCAAAATTGAAGGAGTATTTTTGTGGGCATTTGTCTGATTTAAATGAAAAAGATGGAAAGGGTTTTCAGGAGCTGGTTGAAGAGACAGAATGTAGAGTTCCTTCTTCCCAACTGTAAAAAGCTTGTCCATTATGGGTAGAGGTACAAAGTGAACAGCAGCGATTATGTGGAGAAGTAAATACAGGAAACGAAAGAGAGCATTTCATGGATTATTTTCCTGTTTCATTTCTTAAAATATCCTTTTTTAAGCCAAAGGTAATAGAGATGGCGACTTGTGTTCACTTTAGTAGTGATTATACAGTATATTAGTATTTGATTATTTTTTCTACAACTTTCATGACTCTGATTGCCAAATATATAAATCAATGGATTACATTGTTTTTTCATTGTCCAAACTCCTCTTTTCATTTCCTATTCTCTGTATTCTGTAATTATCTTGAAATAACAAGCAGGCTTCAGTTAATTACTCGAAAAAAATGGCAATCTTCTGGGATTAAAGAAAAAAAATATGAGTAGGACATAAATTAATGCTGATTCTTCTTTCTAAGTTTTTCAGTATTGCATCAACAGTCTCTCTTATGATTTTATTAGAAAAAAAGAAACCAACTTTGTTCATCAAAGCAAAAAATAACCATTATCTATTTCTTTTTTTATAAGTTTATTATCTCAAATATGGTCAACAGACCTGTAAACTCTAAGAACTGATGGCTGAACGGAAAGTGAGATTTCAGATTAATAGAGGCAATATTTTGCTCAAATAACTAATGAAAAAAGAAAAAAATTACTGGGAGAGACAGATGAAAACGAATAGAGATGAACGAAGGTAAGATATTATATGACAAACAATTCAGATTATTAGGACTGAATCTATATAAACACACATATTATACATAGCTTAACCTAAATTTAAAACTTGTTGTTGTTGTTAATTGCGAAGTCGTGTCCGACCCATCGCGACCCCATGGATAACGTTCCTCCAGGCCTTCCTGTCCTCTACCATCTTCTGGAGTCCATTTAAGCTCATGCCTACTGCTTCAGTGACTCCATCCAGCTACCTCATTCTCTGTCGTCCCCTTCTTCTATTGCCCTCAATCTTTCCCAGCATTAGGCCCTTCTCCAGTGAGTCCTTCCTTCTCATTAGGGGGCCAAAGTATTTGAGTTTCAACTTCAGGATCTGGCCTTCTAAAGAGCAGTCGGGGTTGATCTCTTCTAGGACTGACCGGTTTGAACGCCTTGCAGTCCAGGGGACTCGCAGGAGTCTTCTCCAGCATGTAATGTTTATTCATGTAGATTGTCCAGAAGGTACATTGGAACCTATTGATAGATCTCCAAGTGTCCAGTTGCTTGGTAAAAGGTTTTAGGCTGAGAATTGTTTAACAATAACAACGACAGAATGACTTCCCCTAAACTATGTTGTTCAAACAAGGGAAATGTGGCATAATTAGGAGAGTTGTAGCAAGGAAAGAATGAGCAGTCCCACTCAGATTTTGCACTCAAATCAAAAATCCTGGGCCCAGAAGTCTTGAATTCTACTCCTGCACCTCACTCTGGCTGTGGAATTGCACAACTGTCTTGCATCGAAGCTGCTTACTTCTTACACTGCATATGACAAAGGAGATGGCTCTTTCTTGCTTTTATCTCTCTCTTTATGTATATTAATCACATCTGTAAAATAAAATTACTTCTCTGTGGGGGAGGAGGGGGTTCTGACTGCTGAGGTACCGAGGTACTGAATAGGTATGGTTTGCTACCTATTGCCAATCCTTCTTTAGCCTCCATTGCCTCTTTTCTCACTCAGTGCCAAATAGTGTTGTCTTGAGAGCACACATGCAGTAGTGAGCAGAAAAATGAGGGGTGAAGTGGACTGTCTTTCCTGACTTTCCTCCTTTGCTGGCATCAGATGGTGGAAAATATATGCAGCAGAGATGGCTTTGTCCATCATCTCTAAACTCCTTCCTTGTCTTCCAGTACAACACAGTAACCTGAGCTGAATAGATTTTTCTTTTTTTAAAAAAAAAGTCTGGAATCACGAAGGGAGTTGTATAATGTAGCTTACACTCAAGATTTCGCTCTCCTTTTCCTTTTTCTATGTAGCAATAAATGCCCATTTGGGATTCCTCCATGCTCTCTGTTCAGGAGGCAGTGAAGGGGAAAGAATGTTTTGTTGTTGTTGTTGAAAATTGTTACAGCTGCTCATTTCAGTAGAATCTTTGCAGCAACACTGGACGTTTTTAAGAAGAGACTAGACAGCCATTTGTCTAAAATGGTATAGGGTTTCCTGCCTGAGCAGGGGGTTGGACTAGATGACCTCCAAGGTCCCTTCCAACTTTATTATTATTATTATTATAAAATCCAATTTGTTTGCTTCTTTATTTGAACTATTTCTACAGCTGTCCATCTCATGCTACAGTGATGGTAGCTGGCAAACAAGAATTAAAACTGAAACAAAACCTCAATTTAAATCACAGATAATGTACAGATAGCAAAATAAGTGTCACCATGTAGTGCAACTGCATTGGGATATTTTGTGCAGTTGTGTGATTGTGACACTTCAAAAAGGACATAGTGGTGCTAGAGATGGTTCAGAGAAGGATAACTAGGTTGATCAAGGACTGAACAACTTCCCTCTAGAAAGGTTGTGGCATTTGGGCTTTTTAATCTATAAACGAGGCAAATGAGAGGGATATGACTGAGCTGTACAGCCCTATGCATGTAATAAAAGTTGCAGGTGAAGGTATTAGCAATTTATATTATTTCAGGGTTATATGGAATGGGAGTGAAGGGTCTTTTTTACTTCATGTTTGTTGATAGTTCAGGTTTAGGGACTGGGACATTATTAATGTCCTTTGAATTATAGTATCGATAAGGTGGGAGGGAAGAGAAATTCCTTGTGTATTCTCTGCTTCCAAGATCAACAGAAGTGAACACATTCATGGATCAAATTAATTCTGCCTTAAGAGAATGATGTGAAAGTGCCCTTTGGTTCGCAGAGGTGGAATGGAACATGAAATCCAGTACAGTGTTCCAGATATAGAAGTTATTCACATTAAGCACAATCTATTCCAGCCTTCCCAAAACAGCTAAGAATTCTAACAAATTGCAATCCCAACACATTTGGTTAGCACCAAGTTAGGGAAGTCTAAGTACTGCATACTTAAGGCAGCATCCATAGACAATGGGTGCACTCCTTCAGTGCACAGATAAAAAACAACGCATAGGAGGAATATTAATAAAACTGTTTTAAGTGAATGAAATTAATGGACCAAATCCCACAGTATAGATAAATTAGTGGCAGAATATGGGATCCATCACTATTTTTATCTGGTGAAAAAAATTATTTCCTATTCCTAAATATAGTGATTATTTGGAATATGAAAATAAAATTAAACTATTGTATTACTATGTTTCTCAAGAGGCTATTTTCTTTCAGCTGGGGTACATTTATGCAAGCTTATGACTGTTTTACATAGATACCTTAGAATGGGGGTGAACCATACATTTAAATAACACAAAGTTCTCCTGAGAAATGCATTCTAGAAAGGTGAGGATATGGTAAACTAGATATCACTGAAGGAATGGGGACAACATTACAGTGGAATTGGTGGCCAGATGGTGCAAAATCTCCACGGAGAAAGGAGAAATTGTGAGATTGCTCACATGTACTCCAGACAGCTGTCTCATAAGCAGACTGACAGAACTGAGGTTTTTGCACAGCATCTGGGAGTTGAAGGATTCCAATTAAGCTCATAGTTGTAATGTAACTTATATGGACATAATGTTACACTAAGCCTTATTTCTTAATCACTTTTGGAATTTTTTTACAGCTTTTCAAATGTTAAGAACCTTTAGAACAGCAAGTTCTATGGCATTCACTGGCTGAGTATCCTCATTATTTCATGAAATAACTTTTAAACACTCAGGGGCATTTTCTTTTAATAAACAGCAAAGGGGTTGCTTCACCTGAAGAAACGTCTTCCTTTACAATTAAATGCAAATGTGGGGAACCACTTGCCTGAATGATTATATATATGCTGCACCTTCTTATAGCTAAATTTCTCCACATTTCTTTTTCCATTTGATTTCTCTTTCATCAAACTGAATGGGAATAGGCAGAAAAACTGCAAGACAGGTTTTTTGCATGGCACCTATGTTTTCCCACAAACTTCACTATTCAGTGGCACCGATTTTCTTATTTTGCTCACAATCATTTGTAAAAATAGCGCTCCTGAATTCTGCTTGGTTTTTTTTAAAAAAATAATAAGCTCGCTTCTTTTTTATCTTAGGCAAACATGGCAAACAATCTCCTATGGGAAAATAAAAGTTCTGTGTCTGAATTCATCCTTCTGGGTTTCTCAAGCAAGCCGCAAACTCAACGATTCCTTTTTGCTACCTTCCTCATCCTGTATCTAATGATAGTGCTAGGCAACGGTCTCATTATCATCCTCATTAGAATAGACTCTCGTCTCCACACACCCATGTACTTCTTCTTGGCCAACCTCTCCTTCTTGGACATCAATTACAGCTCAACCACAATGCCCCAGATGTTGATACATCTCCTTTCAAAAAGAAAAACCATCTCCTTTGCAGGCTGTACTGCCCAGATGTACATCTTCCTGTCTTTGGGGATAACTGAATGCGTTCTCTATGCCGTGATGGCTTATGATCGATATGCAGCCATCTGCCACCCGTTACACTACACTAACATGATGAGTAAGTCCATTTGTGTTAAGATGGCAGCCGGATCCTGGGCCTGTGGCTTCCTCTTTGCCACGATGCACACCGGCTTCACTATGCACTTGCCTTACTGCGGCCCAAATGAGATCAACCACTTCTTTTGTGAAGTGCCAGCTATCTTGGAATTAGCTTGTGCCGACACACATGTTAATGAAGTGGTGGACTTTGTGCTGGGGGTGATCCTGCTCATGACCCCACTTTCTTTGATTGTGACCTCTTACATGTTCATCCTGCGTGCTATCCTGAAGATCCGCTCTGCAGAAGGGAAGTTCAAAGCTTTCTCCACTTGCACCTCACACATTACAGTGGTGACTCTCTTCTGCGGTGCTGCCATGTTCATGTACATGCGCCCAGCTTCCAGCTATAAGCCAGAAAGAGACAAGAAGTTTTCGCTCTTTTACAATGTGGTATCTGCTCTTTTGAACCCATGTATTTACTCTCTAAGAAATAAAGAGGTCAAAGGAGCTCTGTGCAAATGGGTTTGCACACAATAAATGAACATGTATATTATTTATTAACAGAGGAAATGTAAACAAGAGGACTATTTTATAGCCATGCTATAATTTATGCAGAATACATGAATGAGTCCCCAGCTCACAAGGATGGTGCGTTTGTCTATCTATATATTGGGCTAGACCAGGGGTAGGCAACCTTGGCTCTTTTCATAAAAGAGCCAAGGTTGCTTATCCCTGGGCTAGACATAAGAAAATAATTTTCCAGACAGACCTTCTAGCACATTTCTATAATAGTCACTTGTATGTTCGTGTTCATTGGAAGGGTGTGAGTTCTAGTTCCATTTTGGGCATGAAGCCAGCTGGGTGACATTGGGCTAGTCCCCCTCTCACAGCCCTAGGAAGAAAGAGTCAAGGGCAAACCCCTGATACTGAAAATATTGCCAAGAAAACTTCTGTGACTTTTCCAGGCATTCACCAAGAATCAGTACTGATTCAAAGACACCCCAAAATTCTAAAGGTATAAAATGTTCTATTGCATGAAAGTAAATATTATAACCTTATAATTGCTACAGAGCAGATCAATTTGTTCCTAAGAAGATAGTTAGAGGGACTGATTTCTTCAAAGACTTTAGCTAGAAAGTCAAGAAAGAAAATGGAATAAAATAGAAGCTAGGAGCTATGTTTGAATTTTTTTAAAAAATGACACATCCCAAAATTCTGAAAACTGGGTCAAAATAGCTTTGTTAGAATGGATCGCGGTATGGGTCCAGGTTATCTGAAGAGCTGTCTCACCCCAATGGGACTGGTCTGCCCCACTCATTCTGGCAGAAGGGGCCTACTGCAGACCTCATCAGCCAAAGAATTTCAGCTGGTGGAGTCCAGGAGAAAAGCCTTTTCTGCCAGGGTTCCCGCCCTTTGGAACATCTTTCAACCAGAGGTGAGATCTTCCCTCACCCTCCTGGCCCTCAGGAAGAGCCTTAAAACCTGGTTCTTCCATGAGGTATGAGGCCTTGAGGGAGAAGGTCTAGGCCGGGGGTGGCCGGTGCAATGACAGAGAAGGTACCACCATTGCTCCATTCCAAACCCTTGGTTTTTTAGACTGTATTTAAACTTCTGTTATTTTAATCTCTTTTAATGTTTATACTTGTTTTTATATCTCAATGTTTCATTGTATTGTAAGCCATTCAGTTGTCCTCAACTGCCAGATGGGCAGGATGTAATTTTAATAAATAAAAAAAAATGGGAATGATAAATCAGTTGCAATCCCATCTATAGTTCTATGATGTCCGAGTTGTTTTACTGATTATTGTTTATGTTCCCTTCATGCAAATCATGTGTATGGAGTAACCCCCCCCCCCCAGTCCTTTTACAAAAGGACTTCTCGGTTTTCCAGACCTTATGAGAAATTCGAAATTTTGAATCAAGAAGCTGGAAACTTCGGTGCAAGAATGGAGCAGTTCTTTGTATACACAATGGTTGGGCAACAGCCTCAGAGCGAGTGAGAGAGAGCAGCGCAGCCACAGCGGGAAGGGAAGCGAAGGAAAGGGAAGCAGCCTGCTCCGCCACTCCAGCCAGCGGCCGCCGGAGAGAAGAGGCGAGGCGGAAGGCACCCCCCGCAGCCTCGGAACCAGCTCGCCCGCCAGGGATCAACATTACTGTTGCGCGCTGCCGTTCTGAAGACAGAGGCAAGGCAAACTCGCCAAGGCCGACGCCGCCATCGCTGCGCCAGAGCTGAGGACAGGCGGGGACTAGAGCCAGGCTAGCGGTGGCGTTCGGGCCTGTCGGCGAGTTCGGAGAGGAGGCCGGGCTCGGTCGGGGCAAGCGGCGGAGCTGCCGGGTGGCTTCTCAGGCGGAGGAAGACTTTTCGGCCTTCGCCGGGGAGAAGGGCGGGGCGCGCCTCGTCCGGGGCTTTCCCAGCTGCCGCTGCCCCGCCTTACCCTGCCCAGCCCAGCCCAGCCCAGTGTTTTTTACCCTCATGGCTTCCTTCCCATTGAAGCTTGATCTGGTTAGCCAGTTTTCTAACTGGGTTTATACAGGGCTTTCGTCTGCCACCTCAGCCGCTTTGCTGTGCCTGGAGGCCACCACTGCCTCGTCCCCGCTGCCCGGCATATCCCGCGTCGCGCGTGGCGGTGACCCACAGCCCGACTTTCTGCCGCTGTAGAGTGCTAGCCTGCTCCACCAGCAGCCACAGCCTCCCCCATGGCGGCAGGCCTCGCCGCAGCAGCCCCCCTGGGCAATCTGGCCCGGCGTTCAGCCAACCCTCACTGTCCCGTGTGTGGCTTCCTTTTCCTTCTCCGCTATCATCGCCGCCGCCGCCTCGTTGTTTTCTTCAGGCTCCGCGGCAGGGCCTTCTTCAGTGACCTGGGCTCCCCGCGTGACTTTGCCCATTGCCTTGGCGGCAATTGCTGCCGTTGCGGTGATGGCCAGCAACAACTTGAAGAAGTTGACCCAGCTCTTTGAGGAGCATAAGGCCAAGTACGGTCTGCCCCAAGACAAGTACCTAATGATCACCTAGCCGGCCATATTGGACCAGCCTGGGACACAGACGGGCAATACTAATTTTTAGAGAATGTTGTGGGTGTGAGTATGCATGTAGATGAATGGTGGCCCTGTTATGTATAAATTTTATTATTGTATTTAGGGCGTATGAATGTGAATATTTTTATTATCTATGTATATAAATTGAGTGTGAATGTGTATTGAGTGTTTGGGGTATGAGAATGGTGGAGTCGGGGGTGGAGCCTGGTACCCCCTCTGCTGAGTGCAATAGCAAAAGTAGGGGGGGCAGGACTTACCCTTGGGCTTGGTCTGTATGGAAAGCGAGTCCGGTCAGGAAGGGAGAAGGCTGGTGAGGGTGGGGGTACTCTGGGGAGGGGAGAAGGTTGGAGCATCCCGGTCATGACTGGGATGGGCAGATATGGCGGGAGCCGAGGGGCAGGCCATCTTTGGGGAACAAGGACTCGCTATGTTAGAGCGATTCCTTGTTCCGGCCCCTCAAAAGGCTCATCCTGTAGTACTGATGACAGGGGAGTACAGGGCCCTAATTGTAGGCTGCTGTTGCTTAATGCCAGGTCCGTTGTCAGCAAAGCCCCCCTTGTCCGTGATTTAATATTTTACAGCGGGGCGGACCTGGCATGTATAACCGAAACCTGGCTGGGCCCTGAGGGGGGTGTTTCCCTCTCGGACATGTGCCCGGATGGGTTTGTGGTGCTTCATCAGCCTCGACATCAGGGCAGGGGTGGGGGAGTGGCAGTCATCGCTCAGAAGTCTTTGAGCCCTCATGGGATTCCTGCCCCGGAGGTTGCTGGGTGTGAGTCCCTCCTATTGAAGTTGGGTTCACAGGTTCAGTTGGGCTTGCTGCTGACGTACCTACCTCCCAGCTGCATTGCAGCAGCCCTGCCTGCATTGCTGGAGTCAGTAGCCGGGTTGGCGGTGGAGTTCCCCAGACTTATAGCACTGGGGGACTTTAACCTACCATCACTCGGCGATCGCTCAGAGGCGGTGCAGGAGTTCATGGCTTCCATGGCAACCATGGACCTGACCCAGGTAATTCAGGATCCGACCCATAGGGGTGGTCACACACTCGATCTTGTGTTTCTCTTGGGGCAATGGAGACATGATCTGGAATTAAGGGGAATAGAGATCTCGCCCTTGTCATGGACAGATCATTTCCTATTGAGGCTGGACTTCAGAGCATCACTCCCCCATCGCAGGGAGAGGGAGCCGACTAGGTGGTTCCGCCCCAGGTGCCTAATGGACCCAGATCGGTTCCAGGAGGAGCTTGGGGAAATACCCGACTCCCTTGTCCACAACTTGTCCGGGTCCCTGGTTGCTGCCTGGAATGAGGCAGCGTCTGGGGCCCTGGATCGAATTGCGCCTTTGCAACCTCTCTGTGGTGGTGGTCCCCGGAGGGTGCCTTGGTTTACTGAGGAGCTCCGGGAGATGAAGCACCACAAGAGACGTCTAGAGCGACATTGGAGGGCCAGTAACTCTGAATCTGACCGATCACTATTAAGAGCCTATCTTAGGACTTATTTAGTGGCGATAAGGGCGGCAAAGCGTGTTCACTTTTCCGCAATTATTGCGTCCGCAGAATCTCGCCCAGCCGCCTTGTTTAGGGTGACCCGCTCCCTTCTTAAGGTGGAGGAGGCGGAGGAACCCTTGCAGGGGAGAGCTGAGGAGTTTGTTCAGTTTCTTTCGGACAAAATCGCTCAGATTCAGAGAGACCTGGACTCCGACTGGGCAGTGCCAGCCGAGTTGCCAGGGCTGGTCTTAGTCATGTTATCTGGAGCGAGTTTGAGCCTGTGACCCCTGATGAAGTGGACAAGGCCGTGAGGGCAATGAATGCCGCCACCTGTTTATTGGACCCGTGCCCCTCCTGGCTGGTTTCTGCCAGTAGGGAGGTGACACGAGGCTGGCTCCAGGCGATAATCAATGCTTCCTTGATGGAGGGGTCTTTCCCGCAACCTTTAAAGGAAGCGGTGGTGAGGCCCCTCCTCAAGAAGCCTTCCCTGGACCCAGCTGTTTTGAAGAACTTTCGTCCCGTCTCCAACCTCCCCTTTGTGGGGAAGGTTGTAGAGAAGGTGGTGGCGTCTCAACTCTTGCAATCCTTGGATGAAACCAATTATCTGGACCCTTTTCAATCTGGTTTCAGGCCCGGCTACAGCACTGAGACTGCTTTGGTCGCACTGACCGATGACCTCTGGCGAGCCCGGGATAGGGGTCATTCCTCTATCCTGGTGCTTCTTGACCTCTCAGCGGCTTTCGATACCATCGAGCATGGTATCCTTCTGCGTCGTCTCGGAGAGGTGGGGGTGGGCGGCACCGTATTGCGGTGGTTCTCCTCCTACCTCTCTGACAGGTCGCAGTCAGTGTTGGCGGGCAGACAGAGATCGACCCCTAGGCGCCTCAATCATGGGGTGCCTCAGGACTCGGTCCTGTCCCCCCTCCTTTTTAACATCTACATGAAACCGCTGGGTGAGATCATTCGGCGACACGGGGTGAGGTATCATCAGTACGCGGATGATACCCAATTATATATCTCCACCCCGTGTCCTTTCAGTGAAGCAGTCAATGTGATGTGCCGGTGCCTGGAAGATGTGAGGGTCTGGATGGGGGTGAACAGGCTTAGACTCAACCCTGACAAGACTGAGTGGCTCTGGGTCTTGCCTCCCAAAGGCCAACTGGATGGTCCATCTTTAGTCCTGGGGGGGGCAAATTTACCTCCCTCAGTGCAGGCACACAACTTGGGTGTCCTCCTGGACTCACAGCTAAATCTGGAACAACATCTATCAGCTGTGGCCAGGGGGACCTTTGCACAGGTTCGCCTAGTGCACCAGTTGCGGCCTTATTTGGACCGGGAGGCTTTACTCACAGTCACTCATGCCCTTGTCACCTCAAGACTGGATTACTGTAACGCGCTCTACATGGGGCTACTCTTGAAGAGCGTTCGGAGGCTGCAGTTGGTTCAGAACGCAGCCGCGAGAGCGATTGTGGGCGTGCCAAGGTACGCCCACGTGTCACCTATCCTCCGCGAGCTGCACTGGCTTCCTGTGGGTCTCCAGACGCAATTCAAGGTGTTGGTTATCACCTTTAAAGCCCTTCATGGCATAGGGCCAGGTTACTTACAGGACCGCATTCTGCCGCACAGCTCCCAGAGACCGGTGAGGTACCATAGATTGGGCCTCCTTCAGGTCCCGTCGGCCAGACAATGTCGGCCGGCGGGCCCTCGGGGAAGGGCCTTTTCTGTGGTGGCTCTGACCTGGTGGAATCAACTTCTCCCCGAGGTTCGAACTACTCCCACCCTGCCGGCCTTTAAGAAGGCCGTTAAAACTCTCCTGTTCCGGCAGGCCTGGGGCTGATGTCCCCGGGGGGCCGGGATATGATCGGACTCGCGGTATGACTGTTTTATTTTATTGTTTTATCATTGTTTTAACTTTGTACGCCGCCCTGAGTCCTTTGGGATTGGGCGGCATATAAATATTTGAAAATAAATAAATAAATAAATAAATTCACCTCTTTTAAATAGGCTGTTGGTGCAGGAGATTGGAGTCAGAATGCCTGGAATATTAGATATGGTCCTTTCCGATCGAACCATCAAAGATAATGGTTTGCTATGCACTTAGTCCTCTACTTACAGCCATTCAGTTAGTGATTGGTCAAAGTTACATCTTTGAAAAAAGTGATTTATGACCACTTTGGATGTGTTGTGTATTTATCATGGGTGCACTGTTCCAGGGTCATGGGGTCACCATTTAACCCCCCCCCCTCCCAGCTGGCTTCTGACAAGCAAAGTCGTGGGAGAAGCTAGATTCACTCAACAACTGCATGATTCACTTAACAACTGTAGTGATTTGCTTAACAATTGTGGCAAAAAGGTCATAAAGTGGGGCAAAACTCACTTTACAACTGCCTTGCTTAGCAATGGAAGTTTTGGGCTCAACTGTAATTATTTGTCAAGGACTACCTGTAGTTTATTGTCACTGTACTTCTCAACATCTCATGGGCAATTACTCCCTTTAGTGAGTCCCAAATTAAAGCCTTGGGAATAGTGAGTGAAGTCCCCAAAGTTTGATACCCTGGAAGATTTTTTTTCATCCTGGAGGTGTGAGCCTGACACAATAATTAATCAGCCATTCTTTCAAAACAAAACAATTACTTGCCATTGCTTGTTCAATATAACAGAAGTTACCGGGCAGAGGAAAATATTTTATTGTATGGGTGCAGCTAAAAATGAAGCACCAGGAGAACGCCTGAAAATCGTGTATGAAAGTAATATTATACTACCTAGCAGGTAATAATAGGTTTGGGATTGGGATTGGATTGTTGTGGAGAATATTTGAATTTCTAAAAATCATCAGACATCCTTTTGGCCCCAATTCCTTCAGGGCAAAGATTATAATTGGAAGGTGGATGATTGAATTCAGAGGTAAGAAAGCAAGTGTGGACATGAGACACACACCTGATGCTTAGAATTAATCATTGGAATCCCGTGGAACAAAATTCAGATGCACTTCCAGAAGACAGACCTACATTTTTCATTCAGAGACTGAAACTACAGATAATGAAAATATCTGTAATAATGTAATTATTAATAATATAATAAAGTAATAATGAAAGAACATCTCTTCAGGTCTGCAATTTTCTCTAAAGAAATGGGTAGAATTTAAAGCCAAGATATATTTTTTTCCTAATACTGAAGAACTGTTTTTTTAAAAACTTGTTTGTTAGTGGAAGGTACCTCAGCAAAGGATTCAAAGATGTTTTGACAGCAGGTGTGTGAACTCTGTGTGTGTTTCTCTGTGTGTGTTCATGTGTGTGTATGTATATATGTGACTCTTATCCAACTATTACCAGCTTTGATTTTGTTTTCATCTCAATTACTAGCTTTCTAGCTTTAATTCCAATATTTGCTGTTATATTTTCAGGAGAACTCGTAATGGAAATAATGAATAGAACTTTGTGGACTGAATTCATTCTTCTTGGACTTCTGACTCACACGGTGACACACACCGTTTTCTTTGGGGTGATTCTATTGATTTTTTTTGTTGCTTTACTGGGAAACAGTCTTTTCTTTTTTGTAATCATCATGGGTTCATATTCCAGAGCCCCTATGTACTTTTTCCTCAGCCAGCTCTCCTTCATAGACATCTGCCAGACGTCTAGCATTGTCCCCAAAATGTCCATGGATTTTTGGAACAAGGGCAATACAATTTCATTGGCTGGATGTGGGACTCAGATTTTTTTAACCTTCATGATGGGAGGAGCAGAGTGCCTCCTACTGGCTGTCATGTCTTATGACAGGTATGTGGCCATCTGCAAACCTTTGCACTATCCAGTTCTCATGAACAGAAAGGTTTGTGTGACCATGTCAGGTGGAGTCTGGTTTGGGGCTGTTTTTCATTCACTCGTGCACACTTTTTGTGTGCTCCAGCTGCCTTTCTGTGAGTCTAATCGAGTGAATCAGTTCTTCTGCACAGTCCAAGCTCTGCTGAAATTATCTTGTTCTGAAACATCCACCTATGAAAATTTGTTTTTCCTAACTGGCAGCATATTACTCTTGGCTCCCTTCTCCATCATCCTGGCTTCCTACATTGCTATTCTTTTGACAGTCCTGGGAATGCAATCAGTGGAAGGAAAGCATAAAGCATTTGGCACATGTCTCTCTCACCTCTGTGTGGTGGGGCTCTTCTATGGGGCAGCAAGCTTTAAATATATGAGACCCAGGTCTTACCGAACACCAGAACAGGATAAGGTGGCCTCTTTGTTTTGTGACATTGTGACTCCCATGCTGAATCCCTTGATATACAGTCTGAGGAACCGTGATGTACTAGTAGAACTGAGAAAACACATTCTGAAATGTAAGTTGCATATCTAACCCACCTAACAAGGCCATATCAGAGCCAATCAATAGTTATTTGGAAGAGAACAAAAACAAGGAGAAAAATATTATGTAACAGTCATGACTAGCAACTACTAATAGTCTAATCCTCTATGAAACCATCAAAGCTATTCAACTTAGTGGCTATTGCTGTGGTGGCGAACTTATGGCATGTGTGCCACAGGCAGCATGCAGAGCCATCCCTGTGGGCACGTGTGCCATTGCCACAGACAGAGGGACGCAGGGCCGGGCTCCTCCCCTCCCAGTCTCCATGCACGCGGAGTCCGGGAACAGCTGTGAGAGCTGGGCAGGGTGAGGGAACCTATAAAGAGCAGTTTTGGTGGGAGAGTGAGTGAGCGGCCTTTGGAAGTGACCAGTGGTGGTTTTAAATTATTTAACAACTGGTTCTCTGCCTCGCCTTCACTCCGTCTTGGTCGGGCTGGGCTGCTTAGAGGGTCGGCTCTAAGGATGGGGGCAAGAGGGTAGGGGTCATCATGTTCTGGCTTGGGGGAGGCGAGAGGGCCAGGATGCCTCTGTGGAGGAAAGCGCGCCTCTGCCAACTGAGCCTCTCATCCACACTGCGGTCACGTAGGATTACCTGGAAGGGTCACTGGGCAGGGGGCTGGGGGGTCAGCCGGCAGGGGGGAATCAGAGCCGCCATCTCCCTTCCTCAGTGCAGCCCCATCGGCGTGGGCAGAGGCGGCCCCAGGATGGCTGGAAAGGAGCCCTCACCTGGTGCAGGCCATGTCTACAGGGTGGGTCTGACTGGGGCAGCGGCTGCTGCTCCTCCTGATGCTCTGAGCTCCTTGACTGGCCAACCACACGGGGAAGCAGGAGGCAGCAGCGGTGATCTCTGCATCACCAAGCCGGCCAGCAGCAGATCTGGAAGCGAAGCTGTGCCACCCATACTCACACTGGTGGAGGTAGCGGCAGGGGAAGGTGAGCTGTGGGTGCATGCCCACCCCTCCCCACTGCCACCCCACATCGTCCCACATGCATGGCCCAGAGACACACACAGGACAATGTGAGGCAGCAGTGGCAAAGGGTGGGCACATGTCAGATCCCGCCTTCCCCTGCCGCTGCCCCACCAGCACGAGAATGGTTGGCACAGCTTTGCTTCCAGATCTGCTGCCTGACACCATCGGCCCCTGCACACAGAGGCCAGTGAGAGCATGGGGGCCAACGGTGTCTGTCAGCAGCCACAGCATGCTGGCTGTCCTGCATAATGGTGAACTGGCCACAGAGCCCCATCGGCACCGGTGGAGACAGCCCCATGATGGTTGGAAGGAAGCCCTTGCCCAGCCTGAGCCCATCCTCTCGATGGCTCTGACTGGGGGTGGCTTCTGCTGCTGCTCCGACCAATCAACCATGCAGGGAAGCAGGTGGAGGGGCAGCCAGGGGTCTGGAGCTGCCTCGGCTGCTCGCTGGCAGCCCTCCTGTTTCCCTGCATGGTTGACCAGTCGGAGCAGTAGCAGAAGCCACCCCCATCAAAGCCATCAAGTGGATGAGCTGGGCTTTCCTCTGGCCAACCTGGGGCTGTCTCTGCCCGTGCCGATGGGGCTCCATGGCCAGTTCACCATTATACAGGACAGCCAGCATGCTGTGGCTGCTGACAGACACCATTGGCCCCCATGCGCTCGCTGGCCTCTGTGTGGGGGGGCTGATGGTGTCAGGCAGCAGCTGCTCCGGCTCCTGCCTTGCCTTGCCTTGCTCCGTGGCAATTGGCACACCCGCCCTGCCTCGCCTCGTCTCACCCTGCAGGATGAGCCTCTGGCCCACTGGCCTACCCACCAGAGACACCCTGGATCTCTCCCAATCCTGGCCGGCCCCCACAGGCATCCCTCCCCACAAGCATAATTGAGGTGGCCACACCCATCGCGGCCATGCCCACTCAGTCACCATTGCCCACTCGGCACCCAGCAATAAATAAATGGGTTTTGGGTTGCAGTTTGGGCACTCGGTCTCTAAAAGGTTTGCCATCACTGGGCTATTGCATCTTGTGATAAAATCCCTATATATTGCTTAAATGTGCTTTGTAATGTCTGTGTAAAGATACTGTCATGGCTCTGCTCTCCAAAGGTGGCCCCATAAATTCTATCAAATCAGCCAGTGCACAAGCACGTTGACAGAGGAAATATGAGTGATGTCATGGTTCTGACAAATAAAACTCTTCAAAAAAACTTTGAGGCATTGTTTCCCTTAAAGAATCTTTATTTTGAGTAGCATAACTTTGGCACTGCATAATTGAAGCCAAAAACTGAATTCCCCTCCTGTGAGCATATAGTATCAAAGCACGGTTCCCTCCTTCAATTAACAGTCATAAATCACATTTCTAATTAGCTTGAAGCACGGGCCTGCTCTCCAGTTCTCCAGCCTGCCAACTCCTTATCAGCTCTGTTTTACAATAACCTTGTTTCTCATGCTAGGTCTAGTGTTGTTATGTCTAGCTGGACTCTCATTCACATCCCCCCTCCCAGCATCATCTAACTCAGTGGTTCTCAACCTGTGGGTCGGGACCCCATTTGGGGTCGAACGACCATTTCATGGGGGTCGCCAAACAATGCAGTCTGCCATTTTTCCCCCTTTTCCTTAGCTGTGCTACTCCCTTTTATTCTATTGGTTTTTAAAAGCCAATGGAATAGACTCTCTTGAATAGAGTCTAATTCTATTGGCTTTCAAAAGCCAATAGGAATTGTCCAGGCTGTCTCTGCCCTGCTCAGCCCGCCAAAAGTCCCATTCTGCAAACGGTGCTGCACCAGTTGAGTAGTCCTCGACTTACGACCGGTTGAGTAGTCCTCGACTTACGATCGGTTGGGGGTCACGGCATTAAAAAGGTTGAGAACCACTGATCTAACTCTAAAAGCAAAAGGTAAAAGATGGCTACATTTCCCTTTGTTGTCAATGCAAAAACATCTGATGTTAGCAGCATTGACATCTGAATTGTTGAGGGGCATATGATCTTCTGTTAGTAACATTAATACATCTTCAACCTTGGGAAGAACAGTGTGATACTAGGGAATACCAGTCTACTCCCAAATACCTCCCTTGGGACCCAGCAGCCTCCTTGTCTCACTTCATTTTTAGATTGTGTTGAAAAAAATTAAACAAGTGTCTAAAATGCTACAGAGCGAACAGCTGGTAGTACTGTATTTCTTTGCAGCAATATTGTGGCCTCCACAAATGCTCCACCAACATGGGAGTGTCTAAAGTAATGTTTCAGGGTAGTCTATCCCTTCCCAAAAGGGCTGTGTGTGCAATGGCTCAGTGGTTAAAGACACTGAGCTTGTCAGCTGGAAAGCTCACAGTCTGGGTTCGAGACGTGAGTGCCACTTAATCGGGTGAGTTCCCATTCTTTGCCCCAGCTCCTGCCCAACTAGCAGTTTGAAAGCATGCAAATGTGAGTAGATTAATAGGTACCACTTCAGTGGGAGGGTAATAGCGTTCCATGCGCCTTGGTGTTTAGTCATGTTGGTCACATGACACAGAAAGTGTCTTTGTACAACACTGGCTCCCTCAGCTAAGAAATGGAGATGAGTACCATGCCCTAGAGTGGGACAAGACACAGAAAGTGTCACATGACACAGAAAGTGTCTTTGTACAACACTGGCTCCCTCAGCTAAGAAATGGAGATGAGTACCACGCCCTAGAGTGGGACAAGACACAGAAAGTGTCCCATGACACAGAAAGTGTCTTCGTACAACACTGGCTCCCTCAGCTAAGAAATGGAGATGAGTACCATGCCCTAGAGTAGGACAAGACTGAAAAGAGAAACCTTTATCTTTATCCCTTCCCACAACAGACATTTTGTGAATATACCCATCGGTTGTTCTCAAGATTGACCATCTTCTCTTAAATTGTCCTTGCCAATTCAGCTTGCCCACTGGATCCTTCTTGGTAGGAAGAAGTTGAAAAGATTTTCAGTTTCAAGTAAACTGGGGGCTGGAATTGACATAGAAAACCAAGCATGCCTTGGCATATTTTACTTTTCTAGTCTTTCTTATTGAGGGTTAGTTGGGTGCCTTCCAGCTGATTCTCTGGGATTGCCTTTTGATTTGCTCTCCATGCTTAAAGGAGAGGGAAGTGACCTTGACAGAAATAGACAAGAACCATTACAAAGGCAAAGGGGGTTGAAACATTATTTAAGACCAAGGAAACCTATAATATTCAGAAGTGACTCAGGTAAGTGATTCAATGGAGTATTATAAGAAGGGGAGATACAACACAACCAGACTTATAAGACACAAATTATGACAGCCGATCTCAACACAGTAGACTTCTGGTCTTCCCATGGAATTGATTGTTTGTTCTGGTCTGCCAAGCAGAGCTGACCAGTTCTGACTCTCCTTTGCCAGGTTTTGATTTTCTGTAACCAACTCTAATATCCAGAGGAAACTTTATTGGACTATTGTTTCTTTTTCTGCAAGTGGCAAGAGCTGTCCCATGGTTCCTACCCGAGTATGACAGCTACACATTTCAGTTCTTCATTTGTACCATAGTAGCACCAATATGGGGATACAAAATAGGAAGAGATCACATTTTTCTGATGTGTAAGGTTGGAGGAAATGTGAAGTTCTTAAACCTACCATTTACAAATAAGAGTTGACTGTAAGTAATGGTTTCTTTAGATCAGATAAGTTACCCATTCCTATGAATTAATGGGGATAGAGAATCGCTCATATTGTCCCTATTGAATTTTCCCCCCATTCACCCCTCTAATTTGCATTTATGACCCATAATATTAGAATGAATAGTATGTTGAGATAGTTTATTTAAAATTCAGAATATTATGTAATTATGGATGCCAGATAGCATTGGCTGTTGCGTTCAGACCACGTTCTGCAAAACTGCCTTGCTTTGCCTAGTCTGCTAAGGCAGTAGATCCGTCTTTATATAGCAAGACCATAATCAGAAAAATAAATATAAAGAAACAGTATAAACAACACCATTGTGTTTTAAAATATTTTATTTAGAAATTAGAAAGCATTATGGGTTAGAAACAACAAAATCATTTTAATTATAATCCAAGAATATGGGGATCACTGGCTTCCGGTGCCGGTTCGTGGCGGTATGGTCGAGCAAAGGGAGTCGTCCCTTTGCTGATCGAGTTTCCCCTGCTGGTAGACCCCTTAGAAGGTCGAAAAGACGCTCTGGAGGAGCGTCTACTATTGAGGGAGCTTCTTGGTAGTTGCAGAGGAGCGGCGGCATCCTCTGTTCACTGAGTATCTCCTTTGGGCCAACAGGGTAAAGATCAGCCAGTAAAATGGTGATCATTTAGCTGTGCCAACCGCAAGCCACAAAATCAGCTAAGCAAACGGGCCCACCGTGGAGAAATCGGTGAGACTTTCCTTTTAGCTCTATTTTCTTTATGCCTGTGAAAAGTTTTTTTTTTTGGAATTATTCCCTTTTTTGATGAAGCGGCTTTTTAAATGGGGGAAAAGAAGCACAAAGGATTAAATTTATTTTTGCTTTAATGGCTGATTTTATTTTTGGATATTGGGAGCCTCAAGAAACTTTTTTATAATATTTGGAGAATATTGTTTGCTTTTACCTCTATAGTGTCTGGAAGAATTGAACATCTGATTACTTTCTGGGGGACACTTTTTGACAAATTTATTCATTGTACTTGCTATCTTTTCTTCGCTGGAAAGGCTTTCATTTTGTACAAAGGAAAAAGGCGAGGAAATTGGGAAGAGATGGATATTGTGATCGCTCTTTAATATAGTCTCCTCTAAAAAGAAAAGGACTTGAAAGATAATAAAGATGAAGGAAACCGGTGTAGATTTTTATAAGTACATTTTGGCCAAAAGTTTGGAAAATACTGATGAGATAAATGCTTGCTCAAAGGATATTTCTTGGTATCAACAAGACAAAAGACAAGGACTAAGTGAAACATCAGTTTATACACAAGAGGCTTGTACCTTGCTTACCGAGGTGGAAGAAGTAAACTCACAGTTGGACAATCAATTAATTTTGGAAAAAAGATTTGACATTAATGGACAAAAGACTTATGATAAGGAACTATATGATCTCGCTTCAGAAAGTTGATCTACAGATGCCATTTGAACTTGAGATAGAGGAAAAAATATGGGAAGAAGACAAACATGTAATCAAAGAGGACGATATAAAAGAAGAGACTTTAAGTGAAATATATTCAATGTTAAAAGAAAGGGGAAATGATGTTCTGCCACGAGCCATTCAGACTAACTATAACTTTTATATTAATTCAATAAAATGCACAATGGGAGCTTTTTGTGGGGGAGTGTATAGTGTGGTAGGTGGAGGCCTGATTATGGAAACCTGTTTGGACTAGAAAGAAACCCAGAATAAGATATAAATATTAAATCTAATTATAGTAATGTGGTAATGGCCTTATAGCGATCTGGATTGATTTGGACTTGGACTTTGTTAAAAGGGCTTTATATGTTTTTAATATTAGAGAAGGTATAATGAGAAAAGAACTGAAATATGGGAAATGATGGAATTAATTATTGGAGATTTGGAGAAATAATGAAAAACAATACAAGATTGGTGAGAAAGAGAAGAATTTATTTTTGGAGTTAATAATGTTTAAATAAAAAAAACACTTGGGGCATCTGAATAGTAAATGAATATGTTAGCTTAAGATTAAATAGTTGTAAAATTAAGAAAGCAAGATATAGGATCTTTGGGATGGATAATGAATTTGTAATCTTTTATTGATTAGGTTTTAATGAGTGTAATAATATAAGTAGATAGAGAATGTTAGTCTACCTTTAATTATATGATTTGGATGAAATGTTATATTTCATGTTAATTTTTTTTCATTGATTAATGTAGTTGATGGTTAGACATAGTAATGAATGAATTTAATGAAAATGTATTAATTTGATTAATTCTTCCACAATAAATTATTCCTTTATGCATTGTGGATATTGACTGCTGCCTTTATGGCAGTTTTCATGGAAGTGTCAATCCAAGCCTGTGGCTGACTCGTGTGTTCACCAGCAAAATAGATCCTCCCTTCATTCTGGGCCAATATCTGAGAATAATGGGTAAACTGGTATGGGGCGTATGTGCTGAATGCTCCCCTAGAATATTGGTCAAGGGTCCATTTTTGCACCACGTATTTGCCACAAACCGATCTGAGATAATTTTTAGATACTTGATGGATTTCCACAAGGTCATCCATCACCACATCAGCACACTTTTCATCACTGAGTGCAGTATAAAAATCAGAGTCAGAATGCCAAGTATAGGATGCCAGAAGGACACCTATTCCATGAGGGAAATCATGATTTGGATAGTAAATCACTCGTGATGGGAGATCTGTGATTGATCTTCCTCCTCGGATCCCATCCTTCTCCCAAAACTTCTCAGTGCAAACCAAGGCAATTTTAGTAGAACTTGCATAAATCAAAGACCGCAGTGCCCGGGTCTTGGGAGTGGAAAGAGGTGGCGCAAATTTGATGAGTTGTGTGGCTTTTGCTGTAGCTGTGATGAGGACATAATCAGCAACCAGAGATGCAGAGCCCGTCAACCATTTGTAGAAGACTCTCACTTTGTTTTTTGTGCGAAGTATCTTCTCCACAGTGCAATTGAAATGGACAATTCTAACCATTTCCTGGAAGAAACGTTGAGGAAGTTGATCAAATCCATCAACAATTTCATCAAAACTGAGTTTGAGAGAAGGAAAAAAAACAAATACAAGTTATTTCTAAGTTATCTCAAAAAAGTGTGCCTTGTTCTTATTTCATTCTTTGATAAAGTGACTAAATTAGTAGACCTAAGAAATGCTATGGACATAGTATACTTAGATTTCAGTAAGGCATTTGACAAAGTAGACCATAACCTGTTGCTTAGTAAGCTAGAAAAAGGTGGGATAGACAACATCACCATCAGATGGAATTCTAGCTGGCTGACAAATCATACTCAATGAGTATTCCTCAATGGTACTATATCCACATGGAGAGAAGCAAGCAATGGGTTACCACCAAGCTCCGTCTTAGGCCCAGTACTCTTCAATATCTTCATAAATGACTAAGATGAGGGAATAGATGGGGAACTCATCAAATTTGCAGATGACACTAAGTTGGCAGGAATAGTCAACACCCCAGAAGACAAGCTCAGAATCCAAAAAGATCTTGACAGACTTGAACAATGGGCCCTATCCAACAAAATGAATTTTAATGTGGAGAAAAGCAAAGTTTTACACTGAGGCAGGAAAAATCAATGGTATAAGTGCAGATTAGGTAAGACCTGGCTTAAAAACAGTAACTGTGAGAGGGACCTTGGAGTCCTAGTAAATGATCACTTGACTATGAGCCAGCAGTGTGCAGCAGCAGCCAAAAAAGCTAATACAATCCTGGGTTGTATAAACAAAGGCATAGAATCAAGGCCATGCAAAGTATTAGTACCATTTTATAAAATTCTAGTAAGACCACACCTGGAATATTGCAACCAGTTTTGGTTACCATACTATAAAAAAGATGTTGAGACTTTGGAAAACATTCAGAGAAGAACAACTAAAATGATCAAAGGCCTGGAGAGGAAAACATACGAAGAATGGCTGCAGGACTTGGGTTTGGTTAGTGTAAAGAAAAGAAGACACAAGAGTGACATGATAGCAGTATTCCAGTATTTGAGGGGCTGCCACAAAGAAGAGGGGGTCAAATTATTCACCAAAGCACCAGAGGGCAGGACAAGAAACAATGGTTAGAAACTGATCAAAGTGAGAAGCAACCTAGAATTAAGGAGAAACTTCCTAACAGTGAGGACAATTAACCAGTGGAACAGCTTGCCTTCAGAAATCATGGGCACTCCATCATTTTTAAGATGGAGGTTTTTAAGAAGAGACTAGAGCTAGAGAGTCACTTGTCTGAAATCGTATAGGTTCTCCTGCTTGAGTGGGGGGCTGGATTAGAAGACCTCCAAGGTCCCTTCCAGCTTCTATTCTATTCTATTCTATTCTATTCTATTCTATTCTATTCTATTCTATTCTATTCTATTCTATTGCAGTCCAATATCAATTATTTTAGCCCGTCTGCTTGAGATCAAAGATTAGTTAATTTCTTTTTCAGTTCAGTAATATTTTAACTGTCATAGTTGCCAAGAAGGTAGCAAATATAACTTATAATCTAAAAAAAGTTAGAGATAAAATTTAATAATCAAAATAAATAACAAGAAATGCACTAAATGAAAAAAATACAAGAAATAAACTATTTTAAAAAGTAGCGTTTGGTTCCCTCCCCCACCATCTCATTTACCTGTTATTCGAAAAGACAAAATGATCTATAACAGAATGGAGGAATGAGTAATGAAATCCAGATTCTTCATTCAGGAAGTCACCAATCATCTCAACAGCTCCTTTGCTCAAATTTCCTTCCTTCATGAGATATTCCTAATATACAAAGAATATTTGATGGGGGAAATACTGAATTTTGCCATTCATGAATACACAGTAGAATTCTTCTTTAATCACATGGATCTAATGCAAAGGCAGACGACCTTAGGAAGTCAAGAACTGAAGTTCCTGGAAAAGTGCAGTAGGCAGATGAATGAGGCAAACAGTATGGCAATACATCCATAGGCCACCACAGTGATAGCAAGCCTATGACACATGTATCAAAGGTGACACACTATATTGTTTTGGGTGACATACCAAGGTTCATCAACATCCAACACAAACTATTCTCGAAAGCATGCCCCATTCTCACATGATTTTGGGGGACCTTAGAGGTCATGCAAGAGGACTACGCTCCATGTGCAGCCTCTGGAAATCATGTGAGAATGGGAAAGGATTCCTCATAGGTTTGGGAGGCTGAGGAACAGCACTTTTTGAAGCCACTTTACAAATGAAGCCTTATGCAACCCAGACAGTGGTGGGATTCAGCCAGTTCGCACCACTTCAGCAGAACCGGTATCTAATTTTTGATTGCCCAGGCCCAGAATGGACTTCCGGAAACGGCATCCGGTCATTCATGTATTTGAATCCCACCACTGGACCCAGAGCAGCCTCGAGTACACTGCAGGGTCTGCCAACAGAAAGAAAACACCACCTGTGGTAGATGCTGAAAAATGCCAATCACAGGCGCAATCCCCAAGCTCATGCCTCAAAGAAGCTGTATTACCAATTCCCCTCCCCCCCCCAACAACAACAGCAGGGGAAAAGGAATTAAATTCTCTTTCTACAAAACCAGTTATGTCATTAATTGTGGGAGAACAACAGGCAGAATGGGTGAATGGGATGGGGTGGGGGTGGTTGGAGTTATGTGCATCATCAACTCAGAGTCATTAGGTTCCCACAGGTGGTCCAAATTCATCTCCTTCTGAATTCCATTGACCCTTGTCTTGCACTAATGTGATGCTGAACCTTGGCTGACTGGATTCTTGGGAAATAATAATAATAATAATAATAATAATAATAATAGGCACTAACAAATTCACCATTAGTCAACTGCAAAAGGCGGCCTTACTAGGAACTGCTTCCATCCTGCTATGATATCTGTAATACCATCAAACATCCACATCTGCCTATCCCAGATCCTTGGTAAGGATTGCCAAATCCTGTCTGAACATCTGGCTGACTATGCGATGATCAACAACAATAATAATAAGGGACCTTGGAGGTCATCTAGTCCAATCCCCTGCTCAGGCAGGAAACCCTATACCATTTCGGACAAATGGCTGTTCAGTCTCTTCTTAAAAACCTCCAGTGTTGGAGCATTCACAACTTCTGGAGGCAGGTTGTTCCACTGATTAATTGTTCTAACTGTCAGAAAAGTTCTCCTTGGTTCTAGGTTGCTTCTCTCTTTGATTAGTTTCCATCCGTTGCTTCTTGTCCTGCCTTCAGGTGCTTTGGGGAATAGCTTGACTCCCTCTTCTTTGTGGCAGCCCCTGAGATATTGGAATACTGCTATCATGTCCCCCCTTGTCCTTCTCTTCGTTAAACTAGACATACCCAATTCCAGCAACCGTTCCTTACATGTTTTAGCCTCCAGTCCCCAAATCATCTTAGTTGCTCTTCTCTGTACTCTTTCTAGAGTCTCAACATCTTTTTTACATCTTCTATGCTGCAATTTAAATGGATGTTCCTGATCCTTTGCACTTGACATTAATATATGATGATGCATAGTGAGTAAAGGATGAATGCAGGTGTCATTTTTTTTATTTTTTAGTAATCTCATTATACAATTCTGTCACCTGCAGGTGTGTTATTTTTCCCCTTTGCTTTTTTCCATTGATCAATTCAACCAGGCAATTCCCTACCATTTTGAGCAGTTCTAACCATGGTCATAATAAAATGCATATGTGTTTGATGTACATTTCTCCAAACATATTTTTCTTTTCTTTGGAATTTTGATAAACATGGCTAGGCTTGGCAATTCATTTTCTTCAACCTGTTTTGTACATTGCTTTTTAATAAATCCTATTTTCTGCAAGTTTTCTCTGATAGATTTTTTTTTAAAAAATTGGCAAACTACATTGCAAACTTGAAAAAGCAGGGACATTAACCAAGTTGCAGTTCATTCATTAGACTGGTTCAAAACTGCATTGTCTGTCAAATATGACCTTTTCCTCTTATCATTACTGTTGAAAAGCAATAGCAAGCTATTAAAGTGGTTCATTCCGCTTTAATTTCCCACATACCCCTAGACCAGAGGTAGGCAACCTTGGCTCTTTTATGACTCCCAGAATTCCTGAGCCAGCATGGCTCAGCTTGGAAACTCTCCCTTTCCCCTCAGCAGGGCTGGCTCAGGAATTCTGGGAGTTGAAGTCCACAAGTCATAAAAGAGTCACGGTTGCCTACCCCTGCCCTAGACTGCTGATGTTATTTTTATAATCGTATTATTGGAAACAACATAATCATCTGAAGAAGATAGTGAGACTTTTAATTTTGTGAGAAGACAATGTCAGTTTTACCTTTGTGGAAAACGAATCATATTTTTCCTTCAGAAGGGTACAGTTGTCTGTGACCTGAGCAAGGGAATACATATAGTTAGTTGCAACTTCCTTCCAGGTGCAACAGTCTTTGCATTTGTCTTGAATTAAGTTGGTCTCCCCATATAAATGAAGCAAAAAAAAAAAAAATCTCCTGTTTTGCTTGTGTGTAATTTGTATCAACTCCCTGAATGTTCTCCTTTGCTCATTAAGTGGGCCTGCTCCAGTGGTGGGATTCAAATATGCGAACAACTGGTTCTCTGTGTGGATGCCGCACATTCTGGGCCTGGGCAACAAAAAATTAGCCACCAGTTCTGCCAAAGTGGTGCGAACTGGCTAAATCCTACCACTGGCCTGTTCCCATCTGAGAAGGGATGACCACCTTCTCATTAAATGCAGCCTCTGTTTTCACCAGATTCCTTTGAAACAGGAAAATTAATATCCTGTATCTAATAACAGCTTGCAACTTTTCTAGAACATTTGCCAGATAGTTTGATATGAGATAGATGATAGATAGGTAGGTAGGTAGGTAGGTAGGTAGGTAGGTAGGTAGGTAGGTAGGTAGGTATGATAGATAGATAGATAGATAGATAGATAGATAGATAGATAGATAGATAGATAGATAGATAGATAGATGGGTGGGTGGGTGGGTGGGTGGGTGGGTGGGTGGGTGGGTGGGCGGGCGGACGGACGGACGGACGGACGGACAGACAGACAGACAGACAGACAGACAGACAGACAGATAGATAGACAGACCCCCATTATGTGAAAATATAATTCACTATATGTTTCTGCAACTGCTTTGATATCTTCAATTACCTATATGTCATATAAAGCCTGAAGCTTTATATTACACACATATACATATACATAAAATTATCTTTATTTATATTTGCTATATTAATCCCCATGCATGTGAATTTTGCTTATTTTACTGTGTAACATAACGATCAACTAATCCATTTAGTTCTTCAGTTAGAGGCATGGCTTTATACATTAAACATGAGATATGGATAAGGATTCCATACATAATAATCAAACTTAGCTGAAGGAACCTAGTTGTAAACTTTGGAAGTGTGTTCTAACTCATTGTATATATTTTTTTCTTATATTAAAGTACTCTAGCTTATGGAAAAAGCAGGACCCCTGGAACCTATCAAAAACTTTCTTGGTATGTATAACAAAGTACCTGAATATATGGTATTTTTAATTTTATGCATTGTATGTAATATAGATGGATTTTTGTATAAGTGCACTTTGATACAATTGTATCTATTTATCTCTTTAATTATTTATTTAATATGCAAATGATTCTAGGTGGCTTAAAATTAAAATCATAATATAAAACTATTTAAACTATTTTAAAAATCCTTAAAACTATTAAAATTATTAAAAACTGAATTGTGTGATTGTTATTTAATGTGCGCTTTTCTGTATTTTATGCCACTTGGATTTAATATATTTTGTATCTGATATAAAGTGCTTTATGCACATTATTTCAATAAGTAAGATAATATCCCTGATTTTATTCTACAACGCTCATAATACCAACTAGAACTATACTAGTACATTATATTTGTCCGCTTGTACATCCAGTCTACTCCTTAAAACTACCTTGTTCAGCGTCTCCTCAAACAGCTGGTCTGCAGACTTTCCCCGCTCATTGGGGTTAAGTTGATATCCAAACATTTCATTATTGTTAAGTGCCATTTTTTGTCTGACATTTTGAATTAAATACCAGGCATTCTTATCAGTCTGAGTGAATGGGTGTAGACAAAGTTTAAACTTGTTAATATATTCACGTACAATTCTGTGAAGGGAAAAGAAATCCAGATTTATTTGCAAGCTTATTTCTTTATCACAGCAAGCAAAAAACACAAATTTATCAGATTAAGAGTTGTTCTACTCTGGCCTTGTCTGGTTCTCAATGACCACCAAAGGACAATTGTCTGTCCCTACCATAGTTCTCCTGGAATTGCACCTTAGAGACACTGTGTCATGGTTCCAATTAACGAAACACTTCAAAGAACTTCCAGGCACTGTTTATCCTAAAAAGTCTTTAATCGTGTAACAAAGTGTCAGCACAGCATGGAGGATGCCAAGATCTGAATTCCCCTCCCCTGAGCACATAATATTCCAGCATATTCCCCCCCTCTAATTTGCAGTCATAAATTAGTTTGAAGGCCAAAGTTTCCCTTCCGTTCTGTGGTTTCTTATCTTAACTAATCCCTACACACAGTCTTTCTCCTCCCCTCCCAGCATCATCTAATTTAACTCTAAAAATACCTCACAACTTATACAGAGAGTGGCTGCCTTCATATTTTGTCAAAGCAAGAACATCCAATGTTAGCAGCGTTGACACGCTGCCCATGATCCAGGAAATAGCTTGTAATCCTAATGACTACTTGCTTTGATAGCAAGGCAAGATTGTATAACCCCCACTGTAAAATTATATTTAAAAAAAAGTTTCACACTTCAGCTTTCCATCACAGAAACACAGTCGTTATAGGTGAGTCAACAGTTTCAAGGAAGTATTTATCCATAATTTAATACAGAAGTTTGCAGTAATAGCAGTTTCCAAAATGACACAATACTAGTCCTGCTGACCTTGCACAGCTGGCATTTCCGAAAGCTTTAAAAATGTGGCCATTTTTCCAGGATTAGGAAATTAATAAGGTCCATGAAATTGGCTATTGCTACCACTATATAGAGATTTATTATGGCTATTGTTACCAGGTGTCTTTAAATGAGTTTTACTTTTATATGGGCCACCCAGAAATGATGTTGCAAGATGTACTAATGCAAGCTTTCTGGATAGTTTTCAGAGTCAAGTCCTTATCAAAGAACTGTTGTCTTGTTCCAGTAAGCAACTTAACAGTTATCATCTTTCTAACAATATGCCTAGCATTTCAGGAAGTGAACAATGTATTAAATGTGAATGAGTTTGCCTCTTACATCAAATGATGGATGATGAAAGATCTTTCAATCAATCTTACCTGTGGTTTTTGGGCAATCGCATTGGCCCCAAATCTATATACCAGCCTTTTTCTCGGTGGGTCTTTATGCGTCCTCCCACACGGTTACTGGCTTCCAGGATCACAACCTAGGAGAAAAGAGTACTGATGGGGAATGGATTGTTCTAATTCAGTAGTTCTCAACCTTTTTAATGCCATGACCCCCCAACCGGTCGTAAGTCGAGGACTACTCAACCGGTCGTAAGTTGAGGACTACTCAACTGGTGCAGCACCGTTTGCAGAATGGGACTTTTGGCGGGCTCAGCAGGGCAGAGACAGCCTGGACAATTCCTATTGGCTTTTGAAAGCCAATAGAATTAGACTCTATTCAAGAGAGTCTATTCTATTGGCTTTCAAAAGCCAATAGAATAAAAAGGAGTAGCACAGCTAAGGAAAAGGGGGAAAAAATGGCGGACTGCGTTGTTTGGTGACCCCGGTGAAATGGTCGTTCGACCCCAAATGGGGTCCCGACCCACAGGTTGAGAACCACTGTTCTAATTTCTCTCTCTTCTCATAACGGTTTGGTGATCTGTACTTAGATATGCCTCCTCCAAATTTCCCTTTGATTTCACATGAACATTGATTTACCTTTACAAAACTTGCAACCCACATCCTTATTGTCTGGAGCTATATTCTCTGTTGGCTATTAATATATTACAGCAATTGTTATAAACTTTGGTCCTTTTATTTCTCCTCCTCTTCTTTCTTTTCTTCCTCTTCTTCTTCCTTCTCCTCCTCCTCCTCCTCCTCTGTTCTCTCAAAGCCTGCTTGGACAGTTTTATTGGCAAAGTATTTTTCAGGAGTGATTTGCCATTGCCTCCTTCCTGGGTCTGAGAAAGAGTGACTGGCCCAGGGTCATCCAGCTGGCTTTGAGCCTAAGGCAGGACAAGAACTCACAGTCTCCTGGTTTCTAGCCTGTTGCCTTAATGTCTACACTATATTGGCTCTTCTAGGACACCATAAATTAAATAAAAAATTCAAATGATTGAAGTAAATATTCACAAACAAATAATAATTAATTTTTAGTCTTTATATTATTCATCAAATATAGAGGTAGTCTTCAGCTTACAACCACGACGGGCAACAGAATTTCCATTGCTGAGCAAGGCAGTTGTTAAGTGAGGTGTGCCCAATTTTACTAATTATTTTGCCATGGTTGTTAAGCAAATCACGGCAGATGTTAAGTAAGTCACATGGTTGTTAAGCGAATCCAGTTTCCCTCATTGACTTTGCTTATCAGAAGCTTGCTGGGAAGGTGGCAAACGATGATCACGTGATCCTGGGATGCTGCAACCATCATAAGTGCATGCCAGTTGCCACACATCCAAATTTTGATCATGTGACCATGGGGATGCTGCAACAGTCGTAAGTATGAGGATTGGTCATAAGTCACTTCTTTCAGTACCGTTGAACTTTCAAATGATTGAAAGTCAAGGACTACATCAACTTGCCCATCCCCACCCATCACAATGACTGCTTCTGTTCCAAAACCATTCCAAACACAACGAATTTATCTTTTCATTAAGTGAGTAAAAGGCAGTTGGGTAATTACCTGATGTCCAGCTTCTCTGAGTAATTTGGCAGCGGTCAGTCCACTTATTCCTGCTCCGACAATCACAACTGTCTTAGGCTTCAAGGTCCTTCCTAGACCATGTCTGGCAACATCCAGCCACTTTTCGTATTCAGGATCTTGGAAACACTCTTCCAGGTTAGTAACATGACTTTCTGATCTCAGCACACCCAAGAATAATAAAAGAAGTAGTACTAGAAATAAGCAAAAACAGGTAAGAATTTTTTTTTTATCCTAATCTCTTCTTATTCTCTACTAATATCTATTTCACTTGCATCTAACAGCTTTTGAATATTTTGAAGTGTGGGTAATAGATTGAAAAATGGAGTGCATCTTGGCATGGTTTGGAACATTTCAATCCCTTTGACTCCCCCCACCCCCACCCCCAAATTTTCTGTTCTCAACCCCAGCATGTCTACTGGGTATCCTCTCTGGTGTGTGTGTGTGTGTGTGTGTGTGTGTGAATGCAGATTATTGGTGAGCTCTAATCCTGCTCTAGGCACAAAGCCAGCTAGGGGACTTTGGGCCACTGACTCTTCCTCACCTCTAGGAAACAGAGAATGGCAAACTACTTCTGAAGTTGTTGCCAAGAAAAGTGCATGAGCTCGTCTATGTTTTGACAAGGACTGGGGTTAATATTGATGTAAAGGCATTCCCCCACCAGCCACATCAAAAAAAAAAATTAGCTACTGCTATTAATGATCCCATATGATCTTTATGAAAAGTCTCGGGTATGACTGAAAATGGGAAATTGTGTTAATGATGGGTTAAAATATTGTTGATGGTGGATTTCCAAAAAAATTCAATATAAAGGCAAGCCAACTGGATGTAGAATCCCAGCTTTATATTCTATGTTCTTTGCAATGTGCTATAACAGAAACATTTTTAAAAATATGTTTTATGCAACTGAACTCATAATATTATAATTATCCTGAGGATTTCCAAATGGTTTTTTTAATGTTGTGCACAATGTTCAGAATAATCTAATTCAATTAATTCTTTTTCTGTAACATTTAATTTCTATGGCTGCTCAGCTTTGGTAAGCAGCACTGAGTAGTATACATAGTTAAAGCCAATAATACAAAAAAATATTAAAAAATAAGGGAATCCAACATGAATAAAGTAAAAATGTGGCGGTCCTAATATATCACTTTGTTCTGTTCTTCAATTCCCATGCTATTCTAAGATTTCTTCTTTTTTATGCCTTTGGGTCATAAATACTAAATGCCGACTCTTTTATGTGGTCAAATGCTTCAGAGGTTAACTGGGAAATATATGATTTATGATCTAAACAAGCTTATTTTTTAAATTAATTGAAGGGCAAAAATTTCTACTTGAATGATGTAATCATAACAATTCTGCATCCTTTATCCTACCATTTCATAGATTCTATCTCACCTGCATTTATGAGATCTGGAAAACCAAAAAGATCTAAAGATGAGAAATCAAAGTAGATCTGTGTCATGAATTTCCACTAGGAAATTTGCTTTATAGCAACATTACGGCAGAAGATAAAATAAATGGAGGAATGCAAGTACTAATATGCTAAGTTCTTTTGACTAGGTATGTGGCAAAATATCTTAAAACAACACTCTTTCATTTACTCCACTAAACAAATACACACAAATTTGAGCTGGTGCCACTTTAGAAGTGGCCTTTCCAAGTCAAATATTTCTGCCCATGGAACCAAACATTCTATTTTTTAAAAAATTCATCCTACTAGCTTAATAAAAGGTTGTTGGTTGGTTGGTTGGTTGATTCATTTATACAAAATCAGATTATTGGTCTGCCTGATCCTAACATTTCCTAATATGGTATCCTCCATACATTAACTTCTACTATCATGGCACAATGTATCACACACAAAAACACAATAATAAAAGCAAGTTTATCTTACTCTACTGCAGAGAAACACAATTCCTATTCTCCTCAGATCCTTTTCAATTGAAAGATCAGGGACTGAATCTCTGGCTTCTTACGCTTACTATAACACTGAATTACAAATTTTAACCTTCATTGGAATCTCAGAACAAAATAATTCACTTACAGAAGGATCCCATCATCTTTTCATCAGTTGATAGTCTAACCGATTGTATTTTATGGAGAGCAAATAGTGCAGAACAGCCTAGTAATGTGGTTGAGAATCCAAGAAAACAGGCTTTCTCACATAAAATCTTTCTCTTGACAAATGTTTTATAATGCAATCACTTCCCCCAGGGCTATTCCAGCAAATGATGGTTCATGTTACCTGATACACTTAAGCAAAGTTAGGATTGCACATATTTGACAGCAACAATGCCATGACGTGATTTCCTAGAATATTGCATAGAAAATGTATATTTTTTATTTATTGCTTTTAAAGTAATAACATAAAAAGAAAAGGGAAAGAATACAAGAATTATAGTGTAGATACATACATTCTCAAAAAAAGAAACAATGCATAAAAAGTGTTTTTTTTAAAAAAGAAAAACTAAAAACTACAACTGAAAAAACAAATTATAATATATTGTTATAACAGTTCTACAATTCTGCAATATGTATGCGAATATTATTCAAGTATACACACACACACAAACACATTTATAGAACTATTATTCATCTTTAACCTATTGTCCTTTGTATAAACACATCCCATACATCCTTTAAATTATCCATAAAAAGTCTATATTCTTAGGCAGTCTATCATAGGTGGCAATCATATCTTCAATCCATTGGATAAATTGGGCCATACATTTAACTTTCCAAGGCTGTATTATTGATCTTTTGGCCGTAATAAGGGCATGGAGAATCCATTTATATTGTCCAATTGTCAAAGTTCATGAAATAAATATGAAATTTGAGAGAATATTACCCTCTGAAAACTTTAATTTTTGTCACAGTCATATTTATATAATCCACTATTTTCCCCAAAAATCTAATACTGTAAGTATAGGACATTGTAAAAAAAAGCATTAAAGCATTAAAGAAGCATTATTCTTATTACATCTTCAACAAAATGCTGTCCTAGATAATCCCCTTCTATACAGACATAATATAAAGTAAATTTTATAATCCCCTTCTATACAGACATAATATAAATTTATTCTAAATTTTATTTTTGTTATATACGTTGTAGTTTAAGATCCATTAATTCTCATGATATAGAAGTGAAGACATTTACCCATTGTCTAGCCAAGAAAGGAACTTCTAATTGTTAACTCTGCTCATTTCTTAGAATGTATATATCAAATTCAAATAAAATATCAAATAACAAATATCCATAAAATTAATAGTAGCTATTTTAGTTTTAAAGAATTTAACAAGCTATTTTAGTAGGTGTCTCCAAAGCTGAAAATGTTGGTGAATCAAACAAAATTGTTAACAAATATTGTAGTTGTAAATATTGCAATTGGGTTACATCTGATAGATGATACATATCTCTTAACACATTAAATATTAATCGTCTATGAGTTGGTCCAAAGTCAGTATGCCCGCTTCCATCAAATTTTTCCATATTACCATCTTTTTCCCAGTTTTTAAAATCGGTTTTCCCATAAAGTCAATTTAGCATGGGAAAAGGGGTCAAATCTTCTTTTATTAGACATTACATTTCATAACTTTCTAACTGACATAATTGTTTCCAGACATACTAGTTCTAGTGCAGGGGTCTGCAAACTTAAACACTCAAAGAGCCACTTTGACCCGTTTCCCAGAGAAAAGAAAACACTGGGAGCTGCAAAACCTGTGTGCGCACACAAGGGGTGAGGACCTTGATTGAAGAGTTTAATTAAAAAGAAATACAGGCTGCTATGCATGAGTTCTCTCTCTCTCTCTCTCTCTCTCTCTCTCTCTCTCTCTCTCTCTCTCTCTCTCTCTCTCTCTCTCTCTCTCTCTCTCTTTCCTCTCCCTCTCTCTTTCCTCTCCCTCTTTCTCTCTCTTTCCTCTCTTTCCTCTCTCTCTCTTTCCTCTCTTTCCTCTCACCCTCTTTCTTTCTCTCTTTTTCTCTTTCTCTTTCCTCTCTCTTTCTCTTTCCTCTCTTTCTCTCTCTCTTTCTCTCTTTCCTCTCCCCCTCTCTCTTTCTCTCTTTCTCTTTCTGCTCTCTCTCTCTTTCTCTCCCTCTCTTTCTCTCTCCCTCACTCTTTCTCTCTCTTTCCTTCCCCCCTCCCTCTTTCTCTCCCTCTCTCTCTCCCTCTCTCTCTCCTCTCCTCCCTCTCTCTTTCTCTCTTTCTCTCCCTCTCCTTCTCTCTCTCCCTCTCTCTCTTTCTCTCTCTCTCTCCCCCCTCTCTCCCTCTCTCTTTCTTTTCCTCGCTTTCTCTCTCTCCCTCTTTCTCTCTCTTTCCTCTCCCTCTCTCTCTTTTTCTGTCTTTGCCAAATTCTCTTGCATTAATTGGTAGTTGCATTTCCTGCAAAGATATTCTTGGAATCAAAGAACCCTGTAGTATATGGGATATTTTCTGTATATGTGAAATGGGATTCTTCTCAGAATATAAATTAATCTGGGAATATTCATTTTGAAAGTTTTCACCTTTCCCCAAAGGGTAAGGTTTAATGAGTCCCATCTATCAATATCAGAAATGCATTTTTCATTTTAAGACTATATTAGGAATGACAGAAAATGTAGACAAACATGTATGTCTTCCAGTATGGTAACAAAGAATCTGTTTGCTCTATAAAGATCTATCTTAACATAGGAATGACAGATAATGTAGAGAAGTATGTATGCCTTGCAATACAAACAAATAATTTGTTTGCTCTATAAAGATCATCATCGTCATCATCATCATCATCATCATCATCATAATTATAAAGTTGGAAGGGACCTTAGAGGTCATCTAGTCCAACCCCCTGCTCAGGCAGGAAACCCTATACCATTTCGGACAAATGGCTGTCCAGTCTCTTCTTAAAAACTTCCAGTGCTGGAGCATCTATCTGAATATTATGTTCTCACACACATTGCTTTCCGTATATGAGAATATTACAATGTTGGCATCTTTATTTGCAATCTGACATTCTGAAGAAACTCTAAAAGACGGGTGAAACACCTTTGTGGAATTCATGCTGATTTTCCTGCACAAAGGACTAATTTCCAGGCCATATCTGAGTGACAATTTATACTTTCTCACTTAGAGGTCAATAATTTCCCATTTGAGTTTTCTTTAATATCTTTCAGATATATGCCATAAGCACTCGGAGATCTGTTACAATAATCAATATATTATGACTGCCTTCTTTCTAAATCATGAGTAACTACTGGGTTCCCCAGAAATTTCTGGTTGTTCTGCACAGAAACCGTTTGACAATGTAAACTGGCAATTTATGTTCCAGCAATTTGCAGAAATGGACTTTGGAAAAAACTTTATAAATGTAATCAAAACAATTTATTGTAAACAAACAGCTAAAATAATTGTAAATGGAGATCTTACAGAAAATTTCAACATTAAAAAAGGCACAAGACAGGGATGCCCACTATCTCCATTACTATTTATACTAACGTTGGAAGTAGTGAATAGAAATATTAGATATAGAAATTAAAGGACTGGAGATAAAAGATGAAAAATATAAACTACAAGCATTTGCAGATGATTTGGTTTTCATACTGGAAGATCCATTGGAAACAAGCACTAAACATATGGAGAAAATAAAAAAATTTGGAGAAGTGGCAGGTTGACAATAAACAGAAAAGACTAAAGTACTAACAAAGAATCTAACAGAAAAACAAAAAAATCAACTAACAAAAAAACAAATCTTCAAATAGTTAAAAAAGTTAAATATTTGGGAATTTATCTAACAGCAAGATGTGTAACAATAAAAGAAGATAACTATGTAAGACTGCTTAAACAAATAAAATTGGATTTGGAAAAGTGGAAAAACTTCCAACTTTCAATGTTGGGGAGAATAGCAACAGTGAAAATGAGTATCTTACCAAAAATACTCTTTTTATTTCAAACAATTCCTGTAAGGCTGGGAAAAAGCCTTTTTTGATGAACTGAATACAACAATGTTGAAATTTATCTGGCAAGGAAAAAAAGCTAGAATTAGATTGAAAATGCTACAAGAAGCGAAAGAAAGTAGAGGATTTGGACTGCCGGACTGGATGTTATACTACCAAGCAACACTTTTAACATGGCTTAAAGAATGGATAATCCTTAGAAACAAAAGACTATTGTACCTAGAGGGGCATGACCTACAAATTGATTGGCATGCTTTTCTGTGGTATGGGAAGAATAAAATACATAGATATCATTTTATAAGGAATGCACTTCTTTCAGAATGGGAAAAAATAAAAGAAAAAATTGTATTAAGATACCTGGATGGCTTTCAATAATGGAAGCTTTTGCTTACCCAAATTTAATTAACTACGATAAAGTTGTGACTTATAAAGATATTTTGGACAATGAAGATAAATTGAAAGACATTCAAGGTTTACAAGAACAAGGTATTGATCTAGCATAATGGTCATATCTGCAAATTCAAACAAAATATGAAAAAGATGTTAAAACAATGGGATTTTATAAAGAACAGACAAAATTTGATCAGATACTGTTAAAAACTGATGAAAGGTTGATTAAGAAATTCTATAGATTTCTATTAAATGTAAAGATGGAGGAAAAACAAGTAAAAGAAACAATGATAACATGGGCAAAGAACTTTGGATATAATATAGAATTAGAAGACTGGCAAAAGTTATGGGAAAGAAATATTAAATTAACTAAAGCAGTGGCATATAAAGAAAACTTATATAAAATGTTTTACAGATGGCATATGACACCAGTGAGATTAGCAAAAATGTTTAAAAATACTTCAAACAACTGTTGGAAATACAAAGAAAGACCAGGTACTTATTATCATATTTGGTGGACATGCCCTAAAGCAAAAAGGGTTTGAGCTACCTAGTCATCATTCTTCATTATCATAATATAGCTTGACTGAACCTGCAGTCATTTTGCTCTGCATATCACCATAAAATGGAAGATCTACCCTTCCTACCACAGGTAGATCCATGGGATTTTATTCTTTTACATGGTATTATTACACCAATACAACTGTGTGTATTGAGTGCAGCACCTTTCATTCAGCTACACAATCTATATAACTAGCACATACAGATATTTCCAGAACTTATTTAAATATATGTGGAAGATATTTTGAGCAATTAAT